TCACATCTTGATCAAATCAAGCATATTTATATTTGTAGGCACTTGTGATTGATGGATATTGCTATTTTTCGCACTATCCCAAGGAACGAATCCGTGTGCATTTGCAGGACAAATCGTTGTTGGGGCAGACGTTCAAAGAATATATTTTTAGTTCAAATGCAATGTCTAAAATTTTGGGACTAAATTAAATAAAAAATAAAAGGTGGGTCTGTCATTTAAAAAATGCTCGAAAAACGTTTTGATCTGGTCAAAAAAAAAGAAAACAATTATGACAAAATATGCAGGGTGTCCGGAAATGATGGGCATAACATTCAGAAAATGATTGATTCTACATGAAAAATGAATGTCTTCAGTTGATATAACAGTTTTCCAAAATCTCAAAAATAACAAGGCTTCATTAGATGCACGTTTTCCTTAATAATACTGGAAGTAATCCGGTGAAACAACATCTTCTACAAAATGTAAATGGACAATCTTGCTCTAATTTTACAAAAGTATTTTTTCAGATTACGTAAGTCCCTAATGCCGTAACAGTATTTTAACACTGTAAATTTCGAATTAGATTGAAACCACTTGTAAACGCTTCATATCAGGAACGGTACAGTCTACTCAGAAAATAGATCAGACTATAATTAATAACAATATTCCACTCCGTTATATCAAGTAGATGGATCATACTTTTCAAGTATGAATACTCTAAAAGTTACATCAACAGACATTTATGGTCTATTTAAATTGCCTTCTTGAATGACGCACTTCTGTAATAAACATTTGCATAGTTGAGTCGAAAAAGTTGATTTGCGTTTAACGGTTTAGGGAGCCTCAGCAAATATTTACAGATTTCATTTGTTATTAATTAAGTATGTTTTTTTAAATACGATGAGCAGGGCATACTCCAAATGGGTTTTCGTTTTTTTTAATTGAAACAATGAAGTAAAATATAGATATGACTAAAAGTTTTACATAGAAAAAGTCTTGAAACCAATTAAATATTTTACTCTAAAATAAATGGGGTTCAAAGTTAATTCAGATGAGTTTCTGTAATTAAAATATCAATGTCGTTTTTTTTAAGTTGCAATTAAAGTTTCTGTGTTATTTAGTATTGTCTTCAGCGTGATTTCCAGTCTCATCTTCAATATCTCTCTTCTAATTTATACTTCCACGAATATACGATTATACGAACTTTAGATCTAAGGTCTCTTAACAGTCCTCTCAAATAAGAATTTAAGTTATCTGGGCGAATCCGTTGTAATGTCTTCTTTATGAATATAACAGACTGCCTGACACAGATTTCTATGTTCTGAAAAACTGTTAATTCTGCTAATGATACCATCTTAACAACACGATGCATTTGACCTGTGTTTCCTATTATCACGATGCTAAAGCAGTTACCTAGACATTACTCTTCATATTTCAGCTTATGGTGATCTTATTTGAAGTCGTAAAAATTCAATTAACACCACATCTAATAATTAACATGAACATTTTAACTGTGCGAAGGTAATAAATCGGTATGGGTAAAGACAACAGTCATACATGGACAAGACTATAAAAATAAAACACTTAACAGTGTTATCAGCAAAGTGCAGATTCGATGTTGTTTATCTAATCAATGGAAGTCTAGGTTTGTAATTCGATATGTTATTCATCGTTTCAAGCTTCTGATGCATTTGAACAATCGCCTACTAATTTATTAAACATTATTCAAACGTGTGATAAGTCGTAGTTTATATTAAATAATATAATTCTGATCTGATCTGAGCGTTCGTTCCTAATGACAGTGAAATCATGTAAGCAGGTCCAAAACATATACATGCAGGAACCCAAATAAGATATAGCGATCAATAGTATAGATTACGAAATTTATCAGTTGAAACATTTGGGAATGTGACAAAACTCGGTCAACGATCTTGTTTTTAATTTTAGTAAGTATCTGATATAATTCGGCTAATTCTATTTAATAGTGTGATAAAATATTTTTAGGTATACGCGAACAAGATTACATACAAGATATTGAAAACAAGTTTTTAAATGATCAGCATGACTGTCTTGATTTTCATTGAATTCGATTAGAGTTTAGCATAACTTACTGAGCGTATTACACATTTTGATGCACAAAATCAAAAAATTCTGTTTATAAACATAATGTTACTTTTCTACATTAACGTTTTTATTCTATGGTTATTATTATAAAAGTAAGTAAGTATAAAATGTGTTGCACACAATGTGGAATAACTCTGAAACTGAAATAACAAATCTTGGAATACCCAAAGGACATAGTTTTAATAGGTTTGACTTGAATATTTCTGACCAACTTTCTTTTAGAAACACTTACTGTGTGGCTTCAATAATTAGCATATCATAAACAAATAATAATAAACCGAACTTTGTACCAACAGATATTTTCAGATTGAATTGTTTGAACTGCCTGGATTTTCATTGAATCCGATTAAAGTTCTGGGTAACTTCTGGGCTCATTAAATAAACCTGTTGGTGCACAAAACCGAAATACATATATTGTTTATAAACAAAAGAATACTCTTTTACAATAACTTTGTCAGTGTTTTCTTGTTGTTGTTAACAGTTTAGACATACGATCTTATGTAAAATGCCCTGCAGATAATGGTGCATTCTACAATTGGGTATACTTCAAAATTTCCGACCAACTTTCATTTAGAAACACTTACTGTGTGCCTTCAATACTCAATCTACTTATCACAAATAAATAAAAATTAGCCGAACTTCGTACCATCAGACAACTTCAGATTTAATTGTTTACATACATGTACTGGTATCTACATTTTTAAGTTTGCCTTTAATTGTATACACCATGACTCAAAATTCTCTTAGATTACTTATTACTCAATCTATCTAAATATTTCACGCTACGTTTTGTCGGAATTACGCAAAATTACGCATATTCCTGCATGGTAAATTTTCCTAATATTTAAAGTACGAATTTACTTTGAGAGTTGTGAAATGAAACTATTTCAGGGCTCTTCATGATTTCTTATTTAAATGAAGGGCGTTTGCCAAAGTGACGGGGCACGAGTCCTTAGTTGCTAAAGAGTGAATTTCATTTCTCCAACCAGAGGACAGAGGTGATTGAATAATGATCAACTTAGTTGGAATTGCAAAAAAACTGATTGTCAGCTCAATAATTGACACTTGATGAGGAAATCGTTCCTCAACATTATTGCTTGGCTTTGAACTGGATGATAATAATCCTGGTATTAATATTTTAGTTCAGGAACAATTTGGTCTTTATGCATGGTAAAACGATCATATGGATTGTCTTTCAAGAACTCTTTTCCGTGAAGAATCTACATTTAAAAGTGATGGAATCAACAGTCGAAAACCCTCATATTATGCAAGAAACCCTCTTTTAGATAAGATACTATGGAAAGCTAAACGTTTTTGCTGCAGTAATTAATAAAGTATTTATTAGTTATTGGATCCCTCTTCTTCGAGGGGAATTTTGGGAAAATGCTTAACCTCTACTGCTTAAGTACATTCCTCTTGAAATCTGAACGACAATGTCTAATTTAAATGATGATACTCCTAAACATTTCAGAAGAATGTTCACTAATTGTATCAATGAAAGTTATTCAGATCAATGGATAAGGTGAAGATGTACATTTCAAAATACCAACAAGAAAATTGTGTTTGAGAGCGAAACTGTCAACGACTAATGTGAAAAAATTCTTAGTCAGTTCTTATTTGTAAAAAGCACAAATAATGTAGGAAACTTATTAATCGATCCATCGAAAATCGCCAGAATATTTTTAGGAAACCTCACGAAAGCATGGCATGATTTTATTAGCCATGTGCCTTTCACGGATATCGTGGGCGATATTGAAAATTGCCTCTATTTGCATACATGCGGTGATTCACGTTGTAAAACGCTATTTTGTTTGTTTCAATTCAATCTTATTTGTGGTTTCTATCAATTGTGTATTTAGGATTTCTCTCACTGAATATGCGCTTTCGGAGCTTTAGAAGGGGAAAAAATTATGTGCCTAACTATAGACACTAGAAAAACTGATCAAACTAACAGGATTTGGAAATATCTGACTTAAGATTTGGATCAGAAACTTGGCGTTTTTTTTTCAGTAAACACTGCAACTCTTCACCATAAAGATCAAGAAGATTCTGGGGTAATATTTATATGTTTTCTTAGAGTAAAGCTAGTTATTACAAGTAATCTGAAAAGGCAAGCCCACAGAGTAAATTGCAATTAAACTTTTTAGACGATCAATTGTCATGCTAACTACTTTTAAGCGGAACGAATGTAATGATGTTACAGATGCACATTGTCCAAATAATGCATTTGATAATCATTGTATATAAAAAGCTATGTGTATGGTTGTCAGATGGTTTTCATTGTAGGATATTGTACGTATGTACTAAACTGTAGGCAGTTTATGAGTACAACTTTGTCGTACAATAAAATCGTCGTTGAAGCTAAGCTCTCTGCGTTGCTACTGAATGTTAGAAACATTATTGCTTTATGTCAGGTGTATTTTGTAAAACTTGTAAACAGAATAATTTCGTGGCCTAAAAGTTGTCTGATTGTGAGTTCCATTGTGTTGGGGAAATAATGGCTACATACAGTGGTGTTGAGGTAGTTTAACTACTGGCAACAGGTTTTATTCTACTTTTATATATTTTTTGTAACAACTTGGCTGATACATACATGGCGTGGGAATTAAGGGAACATATTTTCAATTTATATATGTATCATCTTGGTAGCAACATTAAATAATTAGCAAAGATAGCGACTTATTTATTATATAAACAATACAAATATCAGCACATTACCAGCAGATGGGTATGAATTGTTAATAACATTGTTCCACAAATCATGCGAGTAGAAAATAGAGCTTGGAAAAAATATTTTCAAGTTATGAAATATATAAAATCCGGTATAGACTGGTCACAACAAGTCACATAAAGATAATTCTATATAGATGAGATATTTGAAATTTGGTTCAATTTACCTAATTATTATCACAGAGTTCAAAAAGCATATCACAGGTAACAACAAAAGTTTATTTAAAATATCACAGGAGAATTTAGTTCGACAACTGAACACGAGGCGACAAACGGGCCCGATAGATCAACAGCATACAGTTGTTTGAATATAGCTTCGCCTGAACCGCAAGAATCGAGCTAATGATTAGTTTCACAAATAACCCACGCAACAGTTATTCCGAGACTGATTTCGTTCAGTGTTCACTTGTTCGGTAAAAAGGATGATAACCAAAACGAATTTTCCGAGCGTCTGCGCGATTGGGAACCAATGTAAACACTGTCGCTCAGTGAAGCTCTTCGGATTTTTGAAAAATTTCTGTTGTTTTCGAATAGTCGAGGAACGTGTGGAGTGGTGGGAATTTTAGGGCCAATCGCAGCACTCTCCAGGCAAATCCGACCTTGCGAATCGATGACGCATTTTTGTAATTGAAGTGGATAGTCGACGTCTCGATAGCTAGCTAATTGTTCCAGTCGTATTGATGATAGAAGGGAGCTTGTAAACAATTTCTGGTTTGAACCGACATCGTTTATGAGACATGAATAATTAGGCAGAGCTTTATATTCGGAGACGTCAATTTATTGTTTAGACTGCATTTGCATTTTAACGTTAATAGTTTGAATTCGATGACGCTCATCAGAAAATACTTCCAATTTTTTTTTAAATAATGTTTTTTAGAATTACTCAGCGATTTTAGCAGGTACAGGTTTGGGTAATTATCATATTTAATTTTATTGAGAGGGTGGTATAATTAACAACCACTTAGTTCGGCCATCATGATAAGCCAATGATTTATCTAAAAAAAAACCAACGTTCGTGTCAACACATAAGCAAATGAGCAAATTTGTTCGGTCGGTTGAATCTTCCATGCTTTTTTTCTCGGGTTTATCTTAAAATACAAAGGTGTTTCCTCATAAGCATGACTTCTCTAGATCATTTATCTTAAAAAACGATGAATAGTGGTAAATACAAAAGTTGCTTATTATTACTCACATCGTCAAAATCTGAAATTATAATAAGAAAATAAAAACGTAAATTCCAAAATTTGACAAAGAAAAACTTTTTTTAATGGAAACACCATATGTATTTTTATCCAGACGGATAGGATTTAGTTTCCTGATTTCATGAACAGATACAGAGTGTCCCTGAAATGAGTGCACAACGATTAGCCAATAACACGATCTATTGCTTTAATTAATATCGTTTTTTCCGAATAATTTCTAAACGCCTATACAGGGTGTCGCAATAAGGATGGTAAGCGGCTGTATCTTGGAAAGTATGTGTTGTAGAGTGATCGAAAAAAAAATTGATAACAAACTTGAAAAAAAGAGTTTGCTGGAAATTATTATTATACTTTGCAATCGGTCAAGCCGTTTTGGAGTTACAGGTTTTTCGAATTAAGCGGTTTGACTCTCCCCCGACGCTTTATTTGACAAGTTAAGAAAAAAGTTGATAAGGAAAGTAGTACGGTTTTTCATGATCTTTTGACTAAACTTACTAGATGTATCACTTATAGGGACAATTTCTGTATAAAATCGACTTTTTAAAATACCATTTGCAATTACGCCATCTAGTGGTCATCTGAGAAATTTCAAAATAATTTCCAGCAAATTCTTTTCGTCAAGTTTGTTATCAATTTTTTTTCCGGTCACTCTACAACACATACTTTCCAAGATACAGCCGCTTACCATCCTTACTGCGACGCCCTGTATATGGACTTTCACTCATTTTGGAGTCAACAATGACCACATAAATTGTCGTGTTTTGACCAAAACGTGATCTTTTTTTAATGTGTGAAAATATTAAAAATTATGCTTGGTTCATTTAAATGGTTGTATTTTTGTTATCCCTGAACAAACTATTTTTTTTATCCTACCACGTGATTTTTTTTTGAAAATTTTCCCCTCTTGTAAAATTTTTGTCAGACCTACGGCTTCTGTTTAAATTTAAAAAAGCCGCAAATGAAATAATACTATTTTAAATGTAGCAAGAGCACCATCAGTATCGTTAACAAAAAAATATGTAACAACATTCAATTACTAAGAGGAAAACTAAAAACAAATAATGAATAAAATTAGCTTTTGTCCAGCAGTCAGAAGCACTTGACATGATAAAAAAATAAAGATTGGATCCGTTCATGAATTTGCACTTTCTCCTTGTATAACACTGAACTAGTGGTGCGATTTAATTCTTATTGCAAGCAATTCCTCAATTCCTTAGTTTGTTGACAAGGCTTATTACCATTTATCTTTGCGGATAAATCTGGCTTATTTAAACCCGCCCACGTCTGTTCCAATGTTCTATCCCAAGGTTGAACATTAACGAGAGTATTATTTCTGGAAACAAACTACATTGGTATAAATTGCCAACAATCTGATTAAATTCAGTTTGATACATTTCACTCAACCACTTTAAAGTTTTAAAAGTAGCACAATTTTTCAAGCTTTGGCGGACGAGTTCCAAGTACAATCATCTCATTCAATAATGTATTCATCTATATGCTTTTTATTTATGTTAAAGAATTTTTATGACTATTTTTCTGCGCCAAATTTTGAATAAAAATTTGTTTCGTATGTAAGAATATTACGAGTTCTTAGTGCAGTTTGTTTTCGGATAATGAATCGTTTTTTTGACTAGTTCGTTCTTTTGAATCAGACAAAATTAAGAACAATTCAGGGCAAGTCAACTGTTTTTTAGTTTAGCCAAATGAGCATTCTAATTTCACATAAAACATAATGAGTCGAATGAATATTCTGAAGTAAAAATTGGCGCTGTAAAAAGACCCCACTTTCAGAACAACTGGCTAAGAGAGATACCGAGGAGATTAAGAAAGTCGCGGTCAAATATTTTTATTATGATACTTTGACGCATAGAACACTTTTCCTTTAATCACATAGTTTTAAATAAATAAAAAAAAGTGCGTCTTAAAACTTTTGAGAAAAAAATCAATGGTTTTCGACACATTTGAAACTGATTTTTTCAACTTCTTGGAAAATAACCAAATAAAAATAGCCAAACCTATAAGAAATAACCAATTCATGGAACAAACGGACAAGAACTAATAACCGTTAATTACACTTTACTTGAAATTTTACAGTTGTTTAGCATTTCACTAGAATTTTCATAAAACTTAAAAAACAATATTTTTCCAAAACAAATGGAGCTTCGGACAAATACGGATATTTCGAAAAAAATTCAATCGTAATTAATTTTCCTAACGTGGTTTTTAATTCAGCTCTTTTGACTCTGTCTTATACAACAAAATAATCACATGAACAACTTCACAAAAACATAAACAATATAATTTACTTTGAGTAGTATTTTCTAAAAATCTTAACGATTCCAGTAATAATGAGAATTACTAATTGATTTCTTGTATTAATCTATCAAAAATATCAGTAACTAAACAGGCTTATAAGTGGTGCATTTTTTAAATTATCTGTGAAATTCTAAATAATACTGTGTTTATGTTCGAATTGTTTTAAAATGCATCTTTTTAAAATTACGATGAGAACAACATCAAATATTCGTTATTAAGATGCTCAACTTATTTTCCAACATTGATACATAATGCTGTGATAAAAATCTGATTTTACATTGCTACAGGCTTCTTTTGCAATATCTTGCACAGCCAGGTTAATACGGATTTTTAGATAATCTGGTTTTGTCTTGTACACAACATTCTTGAATTGTCTCTCTGTCTGGAATAAAAAAACACAAAATGTGGCGGTCTTACTGAAATCAAGTGGCATTAAAATGTGTAAGAAAAACAAGAGCTTTAATGCCAAACTTGTTTTCCTCGAAATTTGCAAATCCAGTTGAGGATTGATGTTAATGATTATTGTTAAATGTTTTGCGCGTTCTCAATATGTACTGCCTATTAATTTATTCATCAGAATCTTCGGAAATTATCACCTTCAATTAAAAGCCGCTTCTTCGGGCTGATGAACTAGTTGACCATAGTAAAAGCCAGACTCCAATTAGAATATCGAGTCAGAAAAACCAAAAAAAAAAAAAACTAACTCAACCACAAAATGGAAGATAGAGAAACTACAGAATCCAACAGAACAACAAAAATACGAACAAGAACTTGAACAGGAACTCATTGAGAATGAAAATCGCACACTGGATGTTGAAGGTTTGTGGAACTATATTGAACAAATGATAAAAGACAGTAGAAAAAACCATCGGGACAACCAAAAAGAAAACGACTAAATCATGGTTTAATGCAGAGTGTCAACGAAAATGGCAAGAAAGAGAAACTTTTAGAAAAGCATTTCATATATATTATTATATATTCAGCACGATACACCTGAAAACCTGAAAAAAGAAAAATATGCAAACTCTCGCAAAGAAACCGGGCAGTCAATAAAAAGACAAAAACAAGAATATGAACGTCGAAAATACGAGATAATCGAAAGAAACAGATCTAAACCAGCTTCTAAGGAATTCTATACGACAATAAAAATCGAAAAACGAGGATATCAGCCCAGGTCGGCCCCGATGCTGAAAAGGGCTAATGGAGACATGATAATTAACAACATGAACAGTTGGAAACATGGAAAAACTACTTTGAAAAACTGTTAAATATAGAACCCGATGAACAACACACTGAAAATACATACCACACAGCAGATCTCCCTGTAGAAAAACATCCATAGAATAACTTTGAAAGGAAGTAAAAAAACCGGATAACGGGACAGGATAACATACGATCAGAATTATTAAAATACGGAGGTGAATCGTTATACAGATAATTCCACCAACTAATTATTTTGATATGGAAAGAGGGGACAAGTCCAACAAAGTGGCAAGAAAGCATCATAATACCAATCCATAAAAGGTGTAAGTCAAGGTGCTCAAAGTAGAGCGGAATCTCACTGCATCTCACAATATTGGTCTGTTTATTTATTTAACTAATTATTTATTAAATTATTGTTAGCATATGCAGATGACATTTACATCATTGGAGACTTCACACCAACAGTAAAAGGTATCTTTGATCGCATAGAAAAGACTACAAGAGAAGTAGGACTCCATATTAACGACGAAAAGATAAAATATATGTGCATAAACAGACACGGGCGCAGAGATAGAATAGGACAGAATGTAACAATAGACACTTATAATTTTGAGCGAGTGGAGCGTTTCAAGTATCTAGGAGCTATAATTACAGCCGATAACGATGTCACGGAGGAAATAAAAGGCAAAATTCAAGCCGCAAATCGTAGTCTCTTCTCTCTAAACAACTTTTTCAAGTCCAGAACCTCAAAGGCGAGAGTCTATAAAAGCATGATAAGACCAATAATCGCT